TACAAAAGATCATAGGGAAATAAAACGGTAGAAAGTTGAAGCTATCCTAGACTTGAACATAGCTCGGGAGGTTTCCAAGTCAATTTCATTGCGTACCGCGGGCATTTTTGACACGTTTGTTTGAAGTACCAACGATTTTATTTCAGAGCAGCTGTAGGTGCACTTGAAAAAAAAAAATCATATTTTATTCTTAAGGAAAGGTGATGAGTTGGTTGTGCTGCCAATCAACTGCAGAAGCATCAGACGAATAGGATTAGTGAGAAACTAATTTAAAACTTACGATGAACTGACTCGACTGCGCCACGAATTATGACAATTTCAAAGGTTTTGTTCAAGAAAATATTGTAAACCGTTTCAAGTAGATTTCTCCCATACAAGCGAGAATTTTAACAAACGGAAATTGCTGTCCTATGTATGGGACTTAAGCCTACCAATGGACAAAGTATGAGCAAAATTGAATTTTGAGCTAAGTCCGCGATTTCTCTGATTTTTACTGACATTTACTATTAAATACTTTCTAGAAGTTTGTCTTGGCGCAATATGTGATCAGGAACAAGACCTCTCCTGGAAAATCACTTATCCAAAAATCCTATTACTGATATCTTTGATAATTAAGGATTAATTACGGTCAATCAATCGGCCACTTCCCCGTTCTCGCGGTTAAGTAATCTGGTGCAGAAATTACAGCGCGAGAACGAGGCCGAGTGTGTAGTCGCTCTCATCGACAAAAAGAACAAATGGCCGTGGTGGTGAAAATGAACGAAAACTCCTCGAAGTTCAATGGAAACCTGTAATTTGCGAAATGGAAACCTGTAGTTCTGTTATCTGAAAAACAAGAAATGCAGAAAAGTTGTGGACACTAGCAGGAAGGATAAATCAGTCAGTTCACTATTAGTGTGAATTACATACATACCCTAGCAAATAAAAATAACTAGGAATACTGTGAAAGGAAAATCTTCGCGGTTTACCTTACGAAATATTCAGTTGAGCATTTACGATGAATAACTCGAATCCGTGACATGACGTCACGCATTCCTCTACAGCAGGAAAACATAGTAGTAATCTCATGCCTTTGCCAGTCAAGAAAACAACGTGGCTGTAAAGTGGTGTTTGTTTTCCCTCCGGGCCATCTCGATTTTTTCTTACAAGGATACTTGCCCTTACCCATAGGTATTCCACTCCAAACTGGCAGGCTTAATATTTTCAAAACTGTGCAGGATTGGAACAGTGCATGTTCACCCCCTCTTCATTGTCGATTGCCCCGCTGTACAAATGTTGTATTCCCAAATGCATTCCAGGGATTAGGAGCAGTAAGTACTTTTTTACAATTTTGATTTACGCCGTTCCTTGTGG